TTTTTTTTTTTTTTTTGTACTGGGGATAAACTTGGGTCCTTGCACTTGCAAAACAGACAGTGGAACCACTGAGCTAAATCCCCAGCCCATAGTAGGCTTCATTGTAAGTCTTCTTCTCTTGGTTTGTTGGGGCCGCTATGTTGATGTGTGTGCACCTGACCTCTTTGTGAGTGTGGGAGGGGTGGAGAATGACAAAAGTCGAGTGATTTTGGTTTCTTTTCTCATAAAAACACTGATGCCATTGCATCAGGGCCCAACCCTCATTACCACAGTTAACCTTAATTACTTCCTTAGATTCCACGACCCAACACTCCTGCACCGAGGAGCTGGCCTCCGGCATGTGACCTTGGGAGACAAACTCCAACCATAGCTGTGTCATGGCATCCAGAGTAGGGGACAGGAGGAGGTCGGTTGGAGCTCTGGTGGGTGAAATAGGCAACTGTTAGGTCTAGGAAGAAATTTTGTGGGGTTGATGAAAATATTCTAAAATGATTGTGGTGATTGTAGAACCATGTGACTATTCACAAAATAATCAAATTGGACATTTTATCGATTGATTGACTGATTGCCCACTAGGGATTGAACCCACTTAGATACATTCCCACCCCTTTTTATATCTTTTGTTTTGAGGCAGGGTTTCACTAAGTCAGTTAATTGCCCAGGCTGGGCTTGAACTTGCAGTTCTCTTATCTCAGCCTCCCAGAATTTGAGGATTATAGGCGTGCAGCTTGGATCATAAGCTTTAAGCGGGTAAACAGTATGTTGTACATGTTGGTTAAGCTTGCTGATGTCCACTTGATTGGCTTGGGAGCTGCCTGGGGGATCGGTAAAGCACATTCCTGGGCACAGCCATGTGGGCCATGGAGGCATGACCTTGGGCACTGTCTTAGTCCCTTTCTTGTCCCTGAGACACAGTACCTGAGAGCTGCAATTTAAAGGAGAGGTTTCCTTTGGCTCACACTTCGTAGAGGTTTCAGTCCATAGTTGGCTGGTTCCAAAACAGGGCTGGAAGGTCGAGGGATGTCCCAGAGGAGAAACATCCCATGGTATGGCAGGGCAGGCAGAAGGCAGCAAGCAGCAGCAGCCAGCCTTCTCTCTATTTTATATTCCATTCAGGCTATAAGCCCATTGATCTATTCCACACACATCCAGGGTGGAGCTAATGTGTAGTGACTAGTTGCCTCTAACTAGTTGTCCTTAGTTGCTGTTTGCTCATTGTGGTTAGTCACAATTTACTAGTGCCCAAACATTTACCATTAACTACTCATGTTTAGTCATTATTAGTAACTAGCTGTCACTAAGTAGCTTGTTACTAGTCAGTCACAGATAACTAGTTGTTAGCTAATTGTGGCTATCTACATATTAGACATCGCTAACTAGTTGCCACAAACGAGCTGTGATCAATGAATCACCATTAACTGGTCATTGCAACTAGCTAGTTATTAACTAGCACTTGTTAACTAGTTGACCCTAACTAGTTGTGGTTGCATAGTCTTTGTTTACAAGTAGTGACTAACTAGAGTCCTGCTGGTTCTTGTAATGTCCTCACGCCATCTTTTCTGCTGTTTTTGAAATAAGTGGCTTTTTCTTGCTAGTCTTCAGCAACCAATTTCTCTGTTCCATTGTTGCAGGCTGTAATTTATACTGAAGGTTCCATTCTGGCCAAACTCAGTACATTTTGAGTCATTCTGCTGGGCTCTTCATTCTTGATTACAACATAAAAGTCCCCAACAGTAGCCATGCCAGTGCCCCAACATTAGACTGCCTTGAAATTTCTTCTGCAAGATTGGTCCCCTGCCCTGAGTCTTGGGCAGTCTCTGGACGTGAGCAAAATGCAGACAAACTTTCTGCCAAGCCATAACACACATTGATGGTGACTAGTTTACAATGGCTAGTTACTAATGACTAGTTAATTGTGAATAGCGATGAGCCATTGCTAATTAACAGCAACTAGTTAACTATAATTAGCAAACAGCAACTAGGTATGTACAACTAGTTAAGGGCAAATAATTTATCATGATTAATGGTGACTAGTCAGCCACTATTTATTGATGACCAGTTAATGGTGACTAGTTAGTGACAGCTAGTTGATGGCTAATTAATCATGACTAGTCACTGATAGACTAACAACAACTTGCAAGTGGTAACTAGTTATCTATGACTGGTTAAGGACATCTATGTAAGCAGGCTAGTGGAGGTTTTATTCCTTACGGCATTACTGAAGCAACTCTAGTACTCCAGTCCACTGCCCAGGACCTAAGAATTGATTCAGTTTCAACGATATTTACTTGGGCAAGGGGCAGAAAGAGGGCCCCCAGAATTGGAGTGACTGAGGGCACAAGGAATTACAAGGAAACGGACAAAGGAGGAAAAATAGGATCCATTACCACAGAAGAAATCACTCTGATGCAGAGGGAGACTAGGGGTGGACAGTGAAAGGAATTTCATGGTGTGCTGCAAAATACAGACTGAACTTGGATCAAAAGAATCTTAAGCAGGCTAGTTAACAGCAACTAGTTAGTTATTACTGGTCAATAAGTAGTCAACTGTAACTAGTGACAACTAGTTAACGACAACTAGTTAACTGAGGCTACTTAGCATCGCTAGAGACAAGTCACAACTAGCAAGTGGCAAATAGTACAGCTAGTTAAGGACAACTACATAAGCAGGCTAGTGTGTGGCAACTAGCTAGTAGTATTGGCCAGTAGCTAACTGCATCTAGTTAGTTAATGGTGACTAGTTTATGTCATAGTGCAAATAGCACCGACTGGTTAATGAATAATTAATACCAACTAGTTAGTGACTAGCCACTACTAGCCAACAGTGACTAGTTAGACATAATTAGTGACAACTAGCTAATAATGACTAGTTAGCAATGACTAGTTAACAAGGACTAGTTAATTAGCATTAGCAGTGACTAACTAGTTTCTACTAACTAGTCACGATAGCTAGTCATCATTGACTTACAGTGATCCCTCTGTGCCTCCCAAATGCTGGGATTATAGGCATGCATCTAAAAATTAATTTCTATTTAATTAAACATTTAAAAAATATTTATGAATTTCTTTACTTAATATTCATGTTATAGAAGCTTATCCAGGAAGAAATAAGAAACGCACATAAGTAATGTTCAGAATGTTATTGAGCCAAATGTATTAAGATATTTTGCACACTGCAGAAATCAGCCTCCTATATGTATAAAATGTTTTAAAGAAATACACACATATAAATAGAATTGTTTTAATTTATTAAATGATTTAATTATAATAATTTTACACTTGGCACTGATAATGTTAATTAATTTTGTACTTTGGCACTAATTATTCAAATTCAAGCAACTACATTTGGTTCATCTATAGACTTTTTAATATATTTTATTAGTAAAAAGACTGATAAAAGTGATTAGAGCCAAATGTGGTGGTGCCTGCCTGTAACCCCAGCACTTGGGAGGCTGAGGCAGGAAGATCGCCAACTGACACTGGACTGAAACCTCTAGGAACTGTAAGCCAAATAAACCTTTGCCCCTTTCACTTTGGGTATTGGGCATTTTGTCTCAGCAATAAGAAAAGTAATGAAGGTAAACTATTCTGCGGGCCTACACTGCAACGCTCCTTGCAAACCTGGAGAGAACCCACTCGGTAAGTGGGAGGACTGCTGGGTTCAGGTAACACGATGGAGGCGTCTCAAGACCCTTTCACTGGATGAAAGGAATCGGAGGCAGGAGTGCATGCGAGGCCGCTTTGAAGTTCCAGAACCAACCAACAGGGCCTGTGTCCGGTGGATGAGGTGGATGGATTACCGGAAGGCACCAGGGGCAATTCCTGTCCATGTGAGGACTGCCCAGTCGTCACACAGGCGTCTACATTTGTCACGGCTTAAATGCCTACTTCTAAGCCTGTGCATTTCAGTACAACTGGTACCAAAAACGATTGCAATAGTATTTCTGGCTCCTGATTTTTCTAATAGTTACAAATTCTATGTACTGTAGGGGCGCTGCTGAAGCACCTCATAGTTCTCAGTATCCGTGTGCTCTCCAACCCCATCTTCTGACTACGGGGCTTCTAATTTCTAAATAATTTTCCAGCGATTATGCACTTGTCTGACAAAGTTCTTATAAATGTTAAAGTTTTTTTTTCTATGTTCCAAGTGAATCCGTTGAAAGGAATTTGGTTGGAAATGAATGTTTATAGCCATTAGTTCATGTATTTATAAGGTCATTGCACCCTGGGGAGATTTTGCAATTTTCATATGCATTTTGAAAGCAATTTTCTCTGCTTTCTAGGTTGTTTCATTTTAAAAATTCATTTTCAGTCATCCGTGTCCACCATACCTATTTAGCTATGTTTTTGCAAATTCCGTGAATATTTCTTCTCTCTTAGAGAAGGAGGTAAAATTGACGGTTCACAGAAACACTGCTAAGCAAATAGAGCGGGCATGACGGACCGGAGACGGATGAGGGTACTCAGTACAAACACACACACAAACGAACGCCCCAAATGCCAAAGTCTGAAAGGGGACTACAGAAATGCCAAATACTCCCGCACATATGCGTAAAGCGCGCCTTCACCAAGTCCCTGGATTCTATCGCTAGTTTTCCAAGTGACCTTGGGCAAGTTTAACCTCAAAGCCGCAGACCTGAGAAGTGTCATCTCAGGCTGGGGTGCAGCTCACTGGCAGAGAACTTGCTCCCCAGCACTGCCAAAACCTGGATCCAAACCAAAACCCAAACCAAAAGAAATCAGTGACTGGACCTACTGCCAACTTTTTCCACTCTGTCCTCGAGGGCTGTGTCCAACGATGCGATTGGCTGGTTCTTCAGAAAGCGAGCCTGTTATGGGGTTCGTGGAAGGCAAAGAAAGGGCAGTTGTGGGTCTGAGGAGACTCAGAGGCTTAACTTGTAGGGAGCTTTAGATCTGGGGGTCCTCCCGTTCTGAATCTGTCCCTTTAGTCACTCAACAAGCACAAAGTGTGCCACGCATCAGCAGCACACACACCAGCTCACAGGCTGGTGCAGGGCTAACTTCCGGTGAGGTGGGGTTTCCTCAAGTGGCTTCTGGGCTCATGTCCATCCTAGGGACTGAGAGTGTCTCTCAGCGGTGGGCAGAGCCAGCGCCGGGCCCCGCCACCAGCTTCTGCTTAGCAAGTCCTCCAGCACCTGTGACCCTGGGCCCGGGTAGGAAGCGTTTGGTGCCTTAACGGGAGCATCCGCTCTTGCCTGGGAACGGAAGGGCTCTCCAGGTGGTCCCGGAGCATCTGCTCTCCTGGACTCTCCCTGCCCAGCTGAAGTCTTCCTGGAGGTTCGGGGTTCAATGAGACCCAGCTTCTTTCGTGTCCCGGGCACCAGAGGTTACTCTCCCTGCAGCCTGTATGCCTGTCCTCTCCTCCCTCGCCTTGCTGGAACCTGGCCCTTCCGGGATCTCCCCTGATAAAGCAGTCTTTGCAGGTGGAACTCTGCTTGGGAGGGACAGGACACCTGTGTCACAGTCACTCGGGGCCATCGTGACTTTCCCTGGGGACAGAGCTCCATAGGATGCCCAGGGACTTGGTCCAGAAGCCAGACCGCCCTGAGGAAGCTGCCTCCTTTCATCTGTGCTGTGCCCAAAGGCCTGCTCCCCTATCCCTGTCCCCTCTCCAAAGCTGGGTCAGAAAGAGCCAGGGGTCTCGGGGGGACAGCGAGGAGGGAAATCAGAGATTAAGATGCTCAAGGTGCTGAGAAGAAAGCTAAGAGAGAGGGGTGGAGCTCTTCTTTGTATGGTGTGGACGCCTGCTAGGGACAGGATGAAGGGTCACAGGTGGGGAAATGTCGCGCGCACCTCGCCAGCAAGGAACACGCAACACTCAGGATTCTTCTGATGCACGCTTTACTGGAGGTTCTTCTACATTCTTCAAGATGGCGGAAAGACCCCGAGCCGGATGCGAGCCTGCCTTTTATAGCCTCTCGGGTGACGTAGCCCATTTCTATTGGTCAATGCCGGCCTGCGTCATTCTGACGAGCCAAGCGCCCCTTCTGCGCAGGCGTGAACCGCCGTCACCAGCGGACTCACATCCGGGATTCATGCAGGGCATGAAGAACCCGGAAATAATGGCGCGTGACAGGGAAAATGTCACCACCCTGCCACCTGCCAGTGTGTCAGTGAGGAAATAGATCCCAGCATCCGGGTTCTGGAGACACAGAGGTGAGGTGGCGCCCCGCCCCCGGGACCCGGGGGTCTGTAGGAGTCACAGCTGCCAGTTCCGGCAGACAGGGACAAGGACAGCTTAGCAGAGCCTGACCTCCATCCTCTCCTGTCCCGTTGGGTGCTGTGAGGGGTGCAGCTGCGGAGGAGAGCAGGCTATCGGGGAGCCAGACCGGAGCCCTTCCTTTTTTTGTGTAGTCCAGGCTGACCTTGAACTCCTATGTAGCACTGATCTTCTTGCCTCAGCCTCCCGAGTGCTGGGTTACAGGCGTTGGAGTCCTGCCTTCTTAGCTGGGGGATGGGAGAAATTCAGGGTGCCCATTTTTCAGAGGGGCAGGGCGAGGTGTGGAGAACAGGGGCCAAGTCCAGAGTACAACGTGGGCGCCAAGGAGGAGAAGCTCAGGCAGCGGGGCCTGGAAGAGACACCCCCCCCGCAGTCGCAGCCAGGCCTGGTGATCCTGCTGCCCAAGGGCTGGGACACGGTGGCCCTAGGTCTCTCCGACGGGGTTCTGGGCGGGGCAATGGAGGGCGGGGCTCCCAGGCGCCTGCCCAGTCCTCAAGCTGGGGCTCCTACGGGCCTCACCTGCCCAGGCCCTGCTGGTGAGTGCTAGAATTCGTGGGCAGGGCCCTCCGGGCCGGCGGGTTCTGGAGACAAGGTGGCACTGCCAAGCCCATTCTGCAGGGCTGGAAACTGAGGTGTAGAGAGGGGACGCGTCTCAGGCGTGGTAGTGGGTGCCCTGCCACCCCTCCTCCCAGGACATGGGGCTGCTGGCTGAGGGAGGTCGGGGGCAGTCCGGAGCCACTCAGGCCGCTGCTCTTGGCAGCGGGGAACTCGGTGAGCATTTTCCGTCACCAACTGCCTCTTCCTATCCTCGCTCAAGGGCCCCGGAGCCACTTTCGGCTGCACAGTGGGGTGGGCAGGTGCAGGGGTCAGCGTGGAGGGGTGGGGCTTCTGCTGGGACCCGATGTCCCCTGGGGCCACCGGTGCGAGCCCACTTTGCCTGTCTGGGGTCAAGGACAAAGCAGGAAGGCCATTAAGGGTGAGGTCAGGTTCCTGAGGAGGTGGATCTGCCCCCGGCCAGGTGCAGCAGGAAGACGCAAGGGCCCGGGTGCGAGCCAAGCTGGAAACAATGAAAGGCTCCTATGTTTTTGTTTTGTTTTTTTTTTTAAATTGCCAAGATTTGCAGTTTCCTAGCGTTGGGGGTCGAAGCGAGCTGTTAACTGGGACTGTAAACCTGCCATCGCCGGTCGTTACACGGAGCCGGGACCGCTTCAGCCTGCAGGATCGGAACTGTAAATCTCTTATCTGTGTGTCCTGTAACCGTCAGCCAAGCGTTCTTTAAGTGGCGGTGCTGAAGCGCAAGCCTGAAAATCAGTGTTGTTGGGAAGGAAGCAAGAAGCGATAAAGCGTTATGAATAAGGCCCGGCCGCCAGCGGGAAACGCTGCGCTATTAATTTGCCGCAGCGGCGCCGTGAAATATTAGAGCCGAGGCCGGGAACGTGAAAAAGCGGCGTGAACCAGAAAGGCCACAGCGGGCGGACGGCTGCGCGTCCTTTCCGCTCTGCATTCATCTCCGCGGCATGGTCAGCTGGGAGTCGCGCACGCTTCGCATCAGGCGAGGTGCTCAGGGCGCGGGATTCGCACAGCGAGGGTGAATGAGGGGCGAGCCCAGGGCTCCCCTCGGCCGGGCCGTCTCACTCTCCAGGCCCGGGCTGGGCCTCAGCGTCCCCATCTGTAAAGTGGGCGGGGACGCTGGCTTTGGTCGCTTCCTCCGTTGCATCGCAGAGGCCGGTACCGTCCCGCTTCAGCCCCCGGCCCACTGAGCTCACCTGTATTAATCGTGGGGCTGACGGTCCACAGGCGGGGCGCCCAGAAGGTTCCCTCACTTATTTGAATCCGGGAGGGGAGGACGTCGGGAGACTCGAGCGCGGCGGAGCTGGTGCGATGGGGGCGCAGCGCCGCTAGAGGGCTCCGTTGCATCGCAGAGGCCGGTACCGTCCCGCTTCAGCCCCCGGCCCACTGAGCTCACCTGTATTAATCGTGGGGCTGACGGTCCACAGGCGGGGCGCCCAGAAGGTTCCCTCACTTATTTGAATCCGGGAGGGGAGGACGTCGGGAGACTCGAGCGCGGCGGAGCTGGTGCGATGGGGGCGCAGCGCCGCTAGAGGGCAGCACCAGCCCGGAGCTCGGAGCTG